ACGTTGAAGCCTGACAGGTCCGCCCGCATTTGCAGCGCAGAACCCCCGATAGCATACCCAGAGCTGTCTGCTATCTGCTCTAATGGTCTTTCCTGGGTGATCGCACTTGCTTCGTCCAGGACGGCCAATTCGATCGATCGCCGAGCCATCAGTTTGATCGCTCTTCCTGCTTTGTCCCCAAGAGTATCTCCAGGGCCCAATCCGCTTTCTGGGATTTTCTCTGTTCCCTTCATATACTGGCCAAGCACTTTTGCGCAATAACCATACTGTGGAGGGAGGTAATTTCTCAAGAAATTTGTGCATCCAAGAAATTGTTGGGTATGGAATTTCTCTTTCAGAGGCGGAAACCCGGCGACCGCTCTGGTCCGCTCAGGGTTGCTTCGGGCGCCAGAACGTCCGACGACATGTCCTAGCAGCTCGCCCTCCAAAACAGCGACGCTTGCCTTGTCTATGCCAAACGTCATCCCTGCGATGATACTCCGATCTAGGAAGGACTCCAGGTGGTCCAACAGATGGATTGAGGCTTCCGGATACCTTTTCTCCATATCCTCCCGTAAGAGATGATAGTACTCGTCCGTTGGACTCTCCTCCGCCATGAGGTCCAAAGCCCCTGGAGTCTCTACAATGTGAAAAACTGATTCTTGCGCCGGCTTCCATGTAGATGTCCCTCCTTTACTTACAGCTTCGGGCGCGCCTTCGGCCGCAACCCCTGCCGTCAAGAACTCCATGAGGCCTGCTAGGAGCAGCGCCACTTGCGGCTTGCCATTTGCCTGCTGCGGTCTGCATCGAGCACAACGTTTCTGCTCTCTTCCGACCATGCGACTTCCACATCTCTTGCAAAGACCATTTGTCCCGCGCCTACGCAGAGTGGATCCCCTTTGGAGATGACGATCTCTGTGTCCTGAGCAGCCACGTATACCTGACCTTCAGCTTGCTTCGGGTCCCAGATCCCTGGCACCACTTCAGCCTTTGCTCCTTCAACGGGCAGAATCACGGTGTCTCCTTCGGAAAATTGCCGCCTAGATGTCCCTTCCTGACTGGTCACTCTGATCCAGTCCCCTGTCATCGGCTCCATCACGAGGTCCTCTTCACTGACGAACACTTCGCCTTCCATCTTGACCTCGTCACTTTCTTCGTCCAGATCCCATGCCTGATCGAACAGGGTCTTTGGATAGGCACGGTCTGGAAACGGCTCCATCTCCTCCTTTCTAAGCAATTTCACTCCCAAGCCGTCAAACACATGGCGCGACGCTGCTGGCCTAAAACCCAGTCCGCCGCGCTCCACCGCGTCCAGCGCCCGGCCGCCGAGGATCAGGCCTTGCCATGTCGACAACCCTTTGCCGATTACCTTTGCCCGTACGAGGATCTCTTCGACCTTTTGGCCGTTCACGTCAGGCATCTGAACGCGCATCACGACTTCTTCTTGCGGCCATCTTTCTAATTGGGCCACCGGAAACTTTTCACTGTCCGGCCCGATCCCTTGCTGCAAAGCTGCTCGGATGGCTCCCATCACTACTTCCTCGGTGATTGAATTACACCCTGCGCAGCCATCCAATAAGCATCCGACATACCTATCCAGCACTTTGACCTCTGTCTGGTACTGGTACCCCCCTTTGCAGTTTGGCGACTCAGTCCACCAACGCTGCGGGAGCTGATCCAGACTTGTCAGATCATTGTTGTTCCCTTTTCCTTTTCCTTGCTTCCCGGCCTTCCCTTTCTTGCCTTTGGCCTTGGGATCCGTAGCCAGCACCTTTTCGGTCGCTTGGCTTCGGCCGTTCCCACTGCACACCACAGGCTCAAAACAATCAAAAGGGTTACTGCATTCCATGCCTCTGCCGGTTGCATCTACACCACGGAGGTCCGGGAGGTTGGTGAGCTGAAGGTGAGGACCAGAATTGCCTTTTCCTGGAGGACCTCCAGGCCCCTTTTACGAGGCGTGACTAAACGGGCACTTCGATCCTCTTGAGCAGCCACCGGCAGTGTTGAAGAATCTACACGCCTTGGACTTACCGTCGTCCTGCCGCCCTTGGATCCTCCCCTTTTCGGCCACTATCTTTTCCTTTTCCTCCTTTCCGTCCTCCTTCGTACTTGGCTACTGGCTCTTCGGAAGGCCGCTCTTGCTGCTTCTTTTCTTTCACCCATTTCCTTCTTGCCTCATCCACGACTGCCTTGTCGTGGGAGAACTTGCAATCCTTTCCGCGGGAGCAAGTGCCCTTGTCCCGCATTTCATAGCGCGCCTTTGCCGCTAAGGACTCCGAGCCTTGCGCGCGAATCTGGTCTACTCCCTACTTGCAATCCCTTCCAACCTGCTTGACGGCAAACGTGCTATTGTTTAGCGCCTTCTGTCCTGCATTTGTCTCCTCTATCTCCTTTACGACTTCATGAGCCTCCTCCCATGTCGCGACTGCGCGAAACACATTTCCCCCCGACCCATCTGGTCGAAAACGTCTGTCACGTCTTACGTCGCGGGAAAGCGCGGGCCCAATCTTCCTGAAATATTGGATCAAGGCTTCCTTCGCGTTTAGACCAAGCCCAACGCTGTCTCGATCCGCCAGGTGAGACTCCCATCGCACTTCCCACTGGAAGGCGGAGAGCTTTCCTTTCTGAAGGGCATCACCTTCTTCCAAGACGCGAATCTCTTTTCTTCCGCAGTCTCGGAGAACATCAAATGTTTGGATTTGATTTGCCTGTACACCTCGCCAGGATCTTCCTTAGGACTATTCCCGAGCCGAGGTTCTTGCGGTAAATCAGCTCATACGTTTTCAAACGGTGCTGCTTCAAGCACGCCTTCAACGTGGTGAGCTTTTCCATGTCAGTCATCCCGTCCCCATCATTTGCTAACCCAATCGTGGCTTCGAAAGAGTCATAGAACTCCTGGACTGACCGGTAGTCGCTGCACTCATCATCCAACGTGGGCCAATGGACTTTTGGGCTGACTTGAATGGTCGAGCGCTTCTGTTTCTTTCCGAGTGCTTCGGCCATGACTTTCGTCTGTTTCTCGATGGCTTCAGCAAAAGCGCTCACATCTACACCCCTACTAACCTCGGACCGAGCGTCTCCTTCCAGCTCGGCGACGCGCCGCTTGAGATCCGCCACTTCTGCGGCTGGCCTCTCGATAGCTGGGCTTCGAAACCCATCTCCGTGGCCTAAGCCCGCAGGAGAGCTTTCTCCGCAGCCCCTGCCCGCCGGAGTGTAGTCCAACACCGTCGACGGACCGCTATTTTCAGGGCTCTTTTCAGGCGTCCCTTCATTTGAAGAGAAGACCTTTCCCATGGTTTTGCTGAGTTTCCCGCCTCTCTCCTGAATCATGTGCAACAGGACTTCTAAACGGGCTTCATGCTCTCCTTCTTGCTCTTCAGGTGGATCTTCCAACAATAACTCGCGGAAAAACTCTTTGAGAGAGGCGAGCTGTTCCTCAGGCGTTTGCCCCTGAACCTTTTCTGAAAAAATGGCGCGAGCCACCTCGAGCTCCACCTCTTGCATGTCCACCTCAG